GCTTCATAAATGACATGCCTGATGCTGTACATTCCTCCATACAAATGTTTGCGGATGACGCCAAGTTATTTCGGGAAATTAAGAACCAAGCAGACTGTGAAGAGCTGCAGAAGGATCTCTGTGAGCTTCAAGAATGGTTGAAGAAATGTCTGCTAAGATTCAATGTTGAGAAGTGTAAGAGGCTGCACCTGGGACGTACCAACGGTAAGGAGGCATATCATATGTCCCAATGGGACGAAGAAACTGCATTAATTGAGACTGAATGTGAAAAGGACCTGGGTTTGTACGTTGACAAAGAGCTGAAGTTCTCGGGTCCTTGTAAGAAGGTAAATCAGACCACTAAATTATTAGGTCGTATAAGGTCGTTCAAATATCTACAGTCCATCCCTCGTAACGATCTTCAAGAATGAAGTGCTTCCCTGTCTGGAGTACTGTCACCTCGTCTGGTCCCGAGATATACTAGGGACTGTCAGTTGATTGAAAATGTCCAAAGGAGGGCCACCAGACTGGTGCCTGCACTACAGCACCTCAGCTACCCTGAAAGATTAGAGCGCCTGAAATTCCCTAGCTTATATTACAGATGGGCAAGGGGGGGTACCTAATTGAGGTGTACAGTATAAACATCTCAAAGGACACTACTCAGTCGAGTGCCCTTACCTGGAGCTGACAGACGCTCGCCCCACAAGGGGTCACAGCTCAAGGTTGAAGAAGCCGCAAGTCCAGAAAACTGTGAGGGGTAACTTTTTGGAGTGAGTTGTGAACTCTTGGAACAATCTACCAGTGTTGTGACGGCACCGAGTGTGAGCTCTTTCAAGACCAGACTTGACCAACACTGGAGCAGGTTCAGATACATTCAGGAGCCGGTGCATGCCCAGTATTTGCCAACAGTGCGTAACAGAGACGTGACCGATCACCCAAGCGTCTAACGGGCCGATCAGTGGTGAAGAGGATAAAAGTAAAGTAAAAGTAAAATCCCTCAGTTAAGTGCAAAGTAGGACAAAATCTTTCCATTTTCTATATTAATATTTCACAAGGTTAGGTTAGGTTTTCGTCAAAGGGGGATTTTGTCCTTCTACATTCGACTATTGTACCACTGTGGGGGACAGGTACAGGCCGAGGTGTTGCAATTATTACCATTTATTGTAGATTTCTAGTATTACAGGTGTATACTAAATATCTACTCTCACAATATCTGGTGGGTTTGTATTGATAATAGTAATTTATGAAGTACATTTATAAACTTTTTAATAAAATGTATTGGAGGAAATATTAGTGTCTACCTTATGTAAGCTCTGGTGCTTGTGGATCTCAAAGTATGCAAGGGTTATGTTCCAGGAGCCTCCTTTAAGAGTGAATTTCATGTACGTATATTCAGTTCCCGCTGTATATACTGTATAAGTAAACCTGGTTTTCTATACTTAAGTAAACCTACCCAAGGTAAACAACTGTTTGACCTCCCACAAACCATGCACTCTACTCTGTACTGTACTTAAATATAGAAATTTTATTAAATAAAAATTAAAAGAGCTTTGTGTATCTCACTTTCACAATGTTTGATGGAGAGCACAGATGACTCGCTCATGTAGAACCAACACACAAATTCAGAGTTAGATACACCACTCATAATAAATCTAATATCTTGACTCTTTCTTCAAAACTTCTCACAGTATACATTTTTATGGTTCTCACTCTCACCACCACAAGCACTGCCACTAAATTTCCTCTTAGGGCCCATGAATGCGGTAAAATTTGGCAATAAAAAAAATTACGAGCAAGCATGCCTGGGAGACATTGACGGAACCGGAGCGAGAGGGTTGCTCGGGTGATGCCTTGGCGAGATGCGGGATGAGGCTCATGGGTAGATTCTATTCTCATGTGAAAGATGCTAAAGCTAGCGAGAGATGCTGGGTGGGTTGGCTCCCAGAGTCCCACGCATAACAGTGGGTCAACGGCGTATAACGCTGGGTCGTGTATAGTACAGTGCTTTGGATAACTGCCCTTTGAGACCCTGCTGTACTGTCTAAAGATGAACAGAACACTGGTTAACAATATGTTTTATAATTTTATGGTTATTTTATTACAATATTTCATTCTATAAGATCACTAATGTTTGAATGTAACTTTTATTATTTTCAATACAAATTCACCAGATATTTAAATGTAAGAGGAATTTTATATTAATATTACAGGCCACCAAATTGAATTAGGTGCATAATTTCTCATCTGCCAACTCAGTGGTGCCTTGGGCCTCTATGCACAAGATTTCTGTATGGCCAGTGTATTTGGCTGTATCCTGGGGCGTTGCTTCAGATTCTGCTACATTCTAAAGTTGGAAAAATACACAATCTTTTTTTCCCTCATAGCAGTCACCAGGGACCCCAAGAACATGTCAGAAAAAGAAAAGGTTCACACCCTTGTCCTGATGAGTGAGCAAGTTCTTCTGTATGAATTCCAGGACAAGGCACACCAACAACAAAGAAGTATTTGGCACACAATTTTCCAACCAATTCTGTTTCAATTCTGAAATCATCTCCTGGAAGGCCCAGAAAGACCTCCAATGCCACTGACTTGATTATGAGATGAGAAGTGATGGAGAATCTGACAATATCTACAGTAGAAATGCCTAAAGCCCACCACAACCTCCTTGAAGATATGTCAGAATTAACTATTCATCAGACTGCAAAAATTTTAACATGCCATCAAAAACTAGTCTTCTGGAAGTGTATGCAAGAATATTCGAGTGCTGGAATGACCTGGGAACTCATCAGACATACACATAAAGAGAAAATGCTTGGAATCAGATGAAACAAGCTGTCAGCACTGAACACATAATCAGTACTTCTCCTTAAAGAGGAAATAAGCAAGTTTGGACAATGGAGAAAGGCCGTGAATCCATACAAACTGACTTCATCTGGTGTTAAAATCAAGGGGAAACATGACAAAATATTAATCATACTGTATAATATAAAAGGCTGCATGTGTTAATTTCTCCTCATGATTCTGTTAAGTCATGTAAAAACGTTATAGGCAGATGTTTTGTGGACACAACATTATGCACCGAGTACACTCACGAGCCATAGTTTCGACGCACTCTCTACTCCTACTCCCGACTTGATGGAAGTCGTAGCCTTGTTTCATACCTAATGTCCCCCTCTCACTTCCCCACCCATCGTTCAGTGGCGCAATGTGGTAGCTCGAAGCTTTGCTGAATTGTACGAATAGCAGTTCATGATGTAATATTTGAGAGAATATAAATAATAAAAATAGTAATAATTAACGGTCTATTAAAAGAGCATGGCAGCCGGAAGGCTGAAAATATACAATTACATAATTGGGGAATGGGTCTCTTGATTTACAAATTATATACAAGTAAAATAAACGATACAAATATGATATATAATAATTAGGTGTTGGTAATTTTTACAATGGTTGAGACTGGGCTGTTCTTAAAGCAATCAGTTCGTGCTCGTATGGCTTGGATGCAGTTTGGCAGGTAAGTGGCCACGTGGCCAGGACAGTAGCTTGGGGCAATGCAGGTGTGCTCCATCCTTCAGGTTAGGTCAGGTGAAGCCGTGAGGTCAGGTCAGGTCAGGTCAGATCCAGCCACACTCAGTATTGCTGTGTTTTTGTGCTTTTCCTTCGAGTTGAAATTGTCACTTTTGTATATCACTTGTGGGTTGATCATCAATCTTTGCACTGTACTGTTGGTGTGAGGATGTTGATAAATCCAAATGGGAAGGAGGACATGGGGAAGGGGAGGGCCCGACAGACCGGGCTGGCAGTTGTCTCCATGGTCAAGAGACCATGGCCGCGTTAGCGGGCAGCGCTGACTACACACGTCCTTACCCTATGAAGGCTGAAGGAAGTGATACAGGTTTTTTATTGACTTCACAACACTTTATTTACCATCACTATACAGCTACTTCCCGACTTACAACCACCCGGACATACGACCGCCTCAGTCGTACCAAAATTGTGTCAAATTATGTATTTTCGAGTCCCAACGTCAGTGATTGCGCTGTGTACTGACAAAATTTTCGTTTGTAATTCACTTTAAAATGGCTGGCAAGCTTAAAAGTGAGAGTTTTGTGGTGTTGAGAAGAAAAAGAAACACCCATTTTCGATTTGAGTCCCTAACCCCGTCATAAGTCGGGGAGCAGTTGTACTTAACATCACTATACAAGAAGGACTGTTCGGCTTGCAGCCCTAACTACGACTTTCCTCGAGCCAGAAGCAGGGGTAGAGGGTGCATCGAAACTATGGCGCATGATTGTACCTATTTATATAGTAAACATACTGGGTGTCCCAAAATTATCTTTTCTGCCTTGAATGTACAGTACATAAACGAATAATGAACAGACATAAAAGCAAGGTATTGTATGCAGTTTGTACTATTTTATGGCACATACATTTTTCTTGACATGTCAGTAGACTTTCACAGGTGCACCATCAGAGGCTTCCACCACATCTAACTAACATTCCATTTCAGTTCACTTTTGCTACAGCATGTCCACAGTCACAATGGTGATGGCATCTGATATCCTGGTCAATAACTTCATACTACTGTATTTGTTACAATGTGGAACTCCACAAATAAACTAACTGCTAAAAACCTGAAGATCACCTCTTCTCCAGCAACTCTACATCATAAAACATAACATGCAGGTGTTTGTACAGTCTCACCCAAAAGTTTGTTAACTCTCCCAGCCAGCTATTGCTGCACTGCCTGCTTCAGATGTATGAACTTGAGTCTGTTACTTCGAACCTTTAGATTCATTTGTATCGGTTTCATGTTCTGGTTGATACTGAGACAGTTTCAAACATCTGAAGCAGGCAGTGCAGCAATAGCTGGCTGGGAGAGTTAACTAGCTTTTGGGTGAGACTGTACCTTATACTGTATGAATGAAAAATATATAAATCATATAAATCAACCCAAGTTAATCCACTGCTGGTATAATGTCTCACCCATATGCATAACAGAGGTTGAAATAAGTTGTGTGTCTTAAAAAATATTTTATTTAATGAAACTATGATTTATGATGAAACAGAAAAATTAAATCTAAAAGAATTTTCAGTTGGTTTAAACTTAAAATTATCCAGTTTGATATTGTCCGCAGGATGTTCACCAGCTGTACTATCACAACTTCTTGTTTCTAAGTCAGACTGACCGTGAGGAACATCCCCAACAGCAGGTACTTCTGGGGGACTCTGTGTCATGTTTTCCTCCTGATTGAGGTGACAATTTTGTTCACTTGATTTCTTAATATATATTGAGTTATTTGGAATGACACACTTGGTTTTCATTTTTGGTTGTTCTGTTAAAGAAAATATAGATTTGGTAAGTTTAGAATAAAGGAAATATTTCAATTTTTATCATACTTCATATTATTGACATACAGTATATATTGATTTAAAAGCATTATATAGGTTGAATCTCCCATATCCAGCAACCATGGGACCAGCTCTGAGCTGGATATACAAAATTTAGAAGGTTGGATTTCTTATGTACAGTAATATCCCCATTAGCCGGAACAATTGGTGCAGAGCACTTCTGGGAATAAAAGATTTCCTCATCCCCGGAATTTTCCAGGTATCAGAAAAATTTTCTCGGAATTTTCCAGAAAATGCACCCTTCGGAAATTGCTCCCAAAGCTGGAATTATCGGAAAAATTCCGGTTTTGGGCATGATACGCCAAGAAAATTTCGGCCATTGGACAGTTCCGGGTTTGAGGGATTCCGGCTAACGGAGATATTCTGCTTGTAACAGGTTACACGTACACTGTATATCTAAACTTGTATATAAACACACATTCGGTAGTCATGGTAAAGTTCAATAAGAGTAGAATAAAACTGTGACCTTCAGCTGTGAATTCAAACAAAGGAATTGGATAGGAGGCGTGAATGGCGCGCTCCAAAAACATTAGCGGTTAATTGGCGAAACTAAAAGATGCTGCCGGCTGATGGGAGGTCTGCCAGGTGGTTGAATTTTCTTTCAATTTACCATCTAACTGCACTGTTCTTTAGGAGGTTTGCCCGGTACAGGAATTTCAGAAAACAGTGTCGTTTTGGGAGAGTTGCCGTATGTTAGAATGCTGGATATGAGAGCTTCAACTTGTGCAATTATTCAAAGCTGCAATTCAAAATAAGAAGTATTGTATTGGATTGTTTTGTATCTTGAGAATACAGTTAACATAAGAACATAAGAATGGAGGAAACTGCAGCGGGCCTATTGGCCCATACTGGGCAGTCCCGTTTACACCCAACCCCTATTGCTCATATGAGCATCCAACCTATGTTTGAAGCAATTCAGCATATTCGAGCTAATGATGATATTTGGTAACTTGTTCCATTCATCCACTACTCTGTTTCCAAACCAGTGTTTACCTATTTCACGCCTAAATCTAAATTTGTCTAATTTAAAACCATTGTTATGAGTTCGCTCCTGGTTGGATAGTTTGAGTACCTTTGTAATGTCCCCTTTGTTTAGCCCTGCCTTCCACTTATACACCTCTATCAGGTCGCCCCTCGCTCTACGTCTCTCAAGGAGTGCAAATTAAGATGCTTTAACCTGTCTCTATACTCAAGGTTCCTAATGCCCGGGATTAGTCTTGTCATTCTCCTCTGAATTCTTTCCAAGGATTCTATATCCATTCTGTAATACGGTGACCAGAACTGAACTGCGTAATCCAGGTGTGGTCTCACAAGAGCAAGATACAGTTTTAGGATGACCTCGCTAGTCTTGTAACTAACACTCCTTTGTATGAACCCAAGTACTTTATTAGCCTTGTTACGAGCAAAAACACATTGTTTACTTGGCTTAAGGTTCCTACTTATCATTACTCCTAAATCTCTCTCTCAGTCGGATTTCTCTATGGCATCGTTGTTCATCTGGTATCTGGTTTCCCTGTTTACATCTCCTATACTGAGTACTTTACATTTGTCGACGTTGAATTTCATCTGCCATTTTTCAGACCATTCGAAAAATTTGTTTAGATCTTCCTGTAGTTTTGCCGAGTCCTCATCAGATTTGATAACACGTCCTATTTTAGTGTCATCAGCAAATTTACTTATGTTGCTGTCTATGCCGATATCTATGTCGTTTATGTATATAATAAATAATAATGGTCCAAGTACTGAGCCTTGGGGAAATCCACTTGTGACGTTGCTCCAATGGGACTTAGTGCCGTTAATGCTCACTCGTTGTTTCCTGTCCTGTAACCACGCCCTAATCCATTTAAGGATGTCACCTTTGATGCCATGAGCTTCTACCAATGGTTTGTGTTATTACATTCTTGAACCTCTAGTGATTTTACTGATTACTACTGATATTCTCAAAAACAAATTGAGAAAAATTTGTTTGGTTCAGCAGCAATCTATTTTAAAATGTAATTTTTTATGTTGTCAAAGATGTAATGTAATACGAATACTGTACTGTAACAAAACCTGATGCAACCTTTACTAATATTAAGTAACTTTTTTACTGCTTCTTGTTATTACATTATCCCACAAGTTAAAGCAAATTACTACAGCAACATCATCTGTTCAGGTGTGGTAGGTAAACAGCTGGCCAGAGCTACAGTAGATGTTCCTTTAATAGTTCCTGATTGATGAGTAAGTGGTTGCTGTCTGGAATATCTGTGATTAAAACTGGCTAAACACTGGTGCTATAACTGTTATATACAAGGCTGACCACTGATTGATGCCTCTCCCTGGTCCTCTGATCTTACTCACTGTGCATCCAAAAATGATCCAAGAATGGTAATTACCTGTATCCGTATTGGTTTTCTAAGCTGGAATCTGAATGCACCTATACCTAATCCTAATAAAAGCTTCTAAACTTGCACATACCCAGTAAATAGACTATACTCCACTGAGGTGTTGGTGGCACAGAACAGATGGCTACATGCATAGTTTTGGCAGAAGCATCTGCCCATCAACTCAACATCACTCAACTGTGTATTGCCTTTGGTGCTGGCAATAGTTTCCAACTATTAGGAACCCATAAAATAGTGTGTAAATTAGCCTCTGACCATTGTGCCACTTTTCCAATGTTTAATGCCTTCACTGGATTTGACAGTGGTCTATTGTGGAGCCAGAAGACTCATGAAATGTATATGATAAAGGCACACCAATGTTTCTTGGCTGCTAGACCTACACCAGATTCATTACAGAACAGGATGGAGGCACTGGAATATTTCACGGTATCACTCTTAGACCATTCCGACAGCCTATAGCGTGTCAGCGAGGCTGGAAAGCAGTTCTTTATTCAGAAGAGTAAGCAGTTGATGGCATTCCTCCGACACAAGCAGCACAGTTCTAGCACACTACGAGAACAGGTTACCAGGCTGGTCACCGCTGGGCTCAGATAATGATTACTGCTCTTAACTTTCCCTCTCCTAGCAAAGGGGGTTGAGAGCGAAAAAAAGAAGGTGGCTGGGAAATATACTGAATTATCCATCCAGAAGCTGGACAACTTCTGCACTGGAAATACAAAATGGGTTGCTGAGAACAATGCAAATGTTGGAAGGTGACTCCAGTGTACAGCACTGCTCTTTCCACTGCACTGGACTATGACTTTCAAACTAAATTGTGTTGTTAGTGATTATCATATTTTGTGAGCAACATTTTAGTTAGAAATACAAAATATAAATGACTCTTAATATAAAATTGCATTACTGTACATTGTTCTATGTAAAGTCTTCATTGTCTTCATTTGACAGAGGTACAGTATAAAATAAAATGAGTCTGTAGCTACAGACGTAATAATTACCAATCTTAAATTTCTTCTCCTCTTCGGCCATCTTCTTCCGGTAATCCCCAAATAAGGCATTCATTACCTGCCTCTTCTTAATGACTGGTGTCTTACTGCTGGTCAATGTCTTACGAGACTTTTGCATATTTTCATCTGCAAAAAGTTAATTACTGTATTTATCAGAAATCCTATATCAAAACTGAGTCTGGACCTGGCAAGTTAATAGTACCTTACACCATGAACTTTTAATAATTTATTATGCTAATTGATAAGAGGAAACTTAATAATCAGAATTACATATCTTGACCACAGATCCTGAATTAATTTTGCTCAAAATCTCAGTGTAGGTCGTCCTCGACTCACTGATTACGGATCTGTGGTTGAAATGTTAAATTTTTTATAATTAATTGTCTTAATAGCAGAGTTGTAAGGCAACAAATTAAATTTACTTGAGTACTGTACTCAAGTAATATTTTTGGGTATTTACTTTTTAAAAAGGACTAAAAATTTTCAGTACTTTTACTTAAGTATGGTTTTCTAATACTTTTACTCCAATACAATTGAAAAAACAAAAACCGTTACTCATTACATGCCCCAAACATGAAACCCCCATCAAATGGAGTACGTATATGGAGAGCAGTGCGTTGTATGGAGGTGTTGCAGTACCTTGTTTTGCCGACCCCTTCTTCTTCTCTAAGGCCAGTTCTATCTGCTCTACACACCATCTTAACTCAAGGCTGAACTTGTCAAACACATCTTCCTCATTTTGATCTACTTCACTGTTGTCTTTAACTATTGGCTTTGGTGGTGGCCCTTTCCTAGCCTGAAAAATCAAACCGTTATTAATACACACACATTTACATACATACATACATATACAGCTCCTCCCCGACTTACGACCACCCGCACTTACGACCTGCCTCAGTCGTACCAAAATTTTGTCAAATTACGTATTTTCGAGTCCCAATGTCAGTACACAGACAAAATTTTCATTTGTAATTCACTTTAAAATGGCTGGCAAGCTTAAAAGTGAGAGTTTTGTGGTACTGAGAAGAAAAAGAGACACCCATTTTAGATTTTCTATGTATTATTTAAGCATTTTTGACTTACGTACAACCATTTCGACTTACGACCTGGATTTGGGTCCCTAACCCCGTTGTAAGCCGGGGAGAATATGTATGTATGTATGTATATATATATATATATATATATATATATATATATATATATATATATATATATATATATATATATATATATATATATATATATATATATATATATATATATATATATATACACACACACACAGTTGGGCCTGCATTTACGCGGTCAATTGAACCTGTGGAGGCCCGCGTAAAACGAGAAACACGTAAATGAAATAACAGAACATATGGGATAATTTGAAATAGAGACTGGGCCGACCCCCAAACTCCACTTTTTGCGACACAATACGTACGTTGTAGTAAAAAGAGTATCTTAACTTTATGATGGTATGCACACACACATAATATAGAAGAGAAATATCAATAAGAGAATAATATACTGTAGGTTAGGTTAGGTTAGAAAAAATCAAGGTTTAACACTTACGTTAGGTTAGGTTAGAAAAATCAAGGCTAGGTTAGGTTTAACACTTAGGTTAGTAGAAGAGATGGATCGGCATATGTTGATGGGGACTGGTTCCGAGGCAGAGGGCAGATTACTGGCCTTCAGGTGAATCACCATCACTATCCACCACAGTTGTCAGGGCCTCCCTGACAAATCCCTCAAAGTCCATATCGTCTCTGTCACTATCACTGGCTTGGGCTGGCTGTGGTGGGTTGCGGGCGAAGAAGTCCGTGATGTTACGCTGACGGCTAGTGTTGATGTTGTCGTGATACATCTTGATGTACGGCTCCATAGTCGCAACAGCTGGTTATTGAAGACTTCATAGCGGTGATCGTCAGAGTCGTTGGAAAGGACGAGCTTGAGTTTCTCTGCAAATTCGATGGCATCCTTAACATTACCATACGTTAACTTGTGTTCTTCTCGGGATGACACACCACCTGCCTCTTCACTGACGTCATCGTCTTCTAACATCTCGTCGGCAGTCACCTCAGGATCCCTGATCACCTCCATAATGTCGTCGTTGGTGGTCTCGGAGAAGCCTGCAACTGTAACACGCTGTGCAGCTTCTCTTGCGAGGTCCACTGCCACTGCAACAGACTGAACCTCACCAGTCACAGGTTGACTCTGCCTCCCACCTGGGATACCTTGCAACACATGCTGCCATGTGTGACGAATCGTTGGCACAGACAGCTGCCCCCATGCCTCCACCAAGAAGTCAACAGCTTTCTTTACGTTGAATTTCTTCCAAAACTGTTTGATGCGAACTTCTTGATCCGCCAACTCTTGTTCCTCGTCGTCGCTCTCGCTATCACTATCGCTGTCACCCAGGTTACGCAACTCATCCATGGTGTTGGTACAGTCGTTCAGGAGCTTAAACTTCTTTGTAGAGAATGCAGCCTTAACGTTGCATATCAACTTCTGGTCCATGGGCTGGATTAACGACGTAGTGTTGGGAGGAAGGAAGACCACTTTTACGTTGGGGGTGACGATCCAACAGTAGGGGCCAGTGTCCTGGTGCATTGTCAAGGAGCAACAAAATGTTGAATGGAACATTCTGTTGCTAGCAGAATTTCTTGACGTTGGGAACGAAACAGTCGTCAAACCAGGAGAGGGACAGAGCAGTGAACATCCACGCATTACGTGCGGTTAGCCAGTGGACATTTAGCTTGGTCATGTCCATGTTCTTGTAGGCGTGCGGCTTGCGGGCTGTGTGGATCACCGATAACTTGAGCTTACAGGTACCGGAGGCGTTGGTGGTGAACAGGACTGTGATGCGCTCCTTCTGCAACTTCCTGCCCCAACACTTGCTGGCAGACTTGACAACGAAGGTCTTGGTAGGTAGCTTTTTCCAAAACAGACCGGATTCATCCATGTTGAACACCTGGTCGTCGGTGTACTGTCCTTCCTCCATATGTCACGTAAGAATGGAGGAATATCACTAGCCGCAACACGGTCAGCACTCGCTCCTTCACCAGCAATGTTAATGTCGTTGATCTTGTTCCTCTTCTTAAACCCTTGCAGCCACCCAGAGGAAGCAGTGAAGGGTTTGGGCTCTGCAATTCCCATCTTACGTGCCACTGCTACGTACAGTTCACGTGCGTAGTCCTGAACTGACCGCGTGTCCACCGCCATGTTCCGTCTTGCCTGAAGAATCAAGTAGCTCACCAGCAAATTCTGTCTTGAGCAGCACCTTGTTCTGGCAGTACTTCACCATTGAAGCACCTGTAGACTCTGTGATGCTCATATGTTCTTTTATCTTGGCGGCATCCTTCTTGATCGTCCGGGTCGTAGACTCGTTAACGCCATGCTGGAGCGCAAGATTAACTTGCCTCGTACCTTTTTCCAACTCCTGCACGATCTTGTACTTAACTTCGTAACTTAGGGCACGTCGTATCTTCTTTGGCTTGAAGCGGCTGGGTCAAGGTAATACAAGATTTTTCTGTGGTGGTGGGGGGGGGTCCAGAGGAAGCTTTTCTTACGAGATTAGTGGGAACAATAGAACACAGTTTACACAGAGTGACTGGGAGGAGAGCGACTAACGCGGGTAACGGCTTCTCTGTGGTGGCAGGGCACGTCATATTACATTGAACCAATCACAGCTAGCGGGGGAGGGAGGTAAGGATGCGTGGCCTAATCACAGTCCGATACGTCACATGACGTCACCGATAACGCAACAGCGACATACTGCGCAACCTTACTCGCGCCGCTTACCCCCGCTTTGGTCAAACATGGCGGGAGGTTTGAATCCAAAATGGCGCGGGGTGGCTGGACCGCCAGCTGCTCTCCGCATAAATGACCAAATTTACCGCGTAATTAAAGCATTTCAATTCTGGCAAGGCACCACGTAAATGACCAAACGCGTAACCAAACCAGCGTAAATTCAGACTAAACTGTGTGCTCCGTTGTTTCCCCTTTTCCCGTGTGATTTTATCAATATATATATCGTCTGCACGGAATGTTAGATCGTGTGCTGAAAAAATATTGATATTTACGATTATGTTATATAAATAAAGTCAAGTAACACTTACCACTTCAATTAATACTTTGTAGTGTTTCCTCTGCGCTTCAGACAGTCGTTTAGCCTTCGAGGAACACTGTCAGCAAGGTTTTGCAAGAGGTCAGGTGGCAAGTTAGCCCAGGTATCCTTGATGGCTGCCTCTAGCTTTGGGATTGATGATGTGCCAGGCCAGGCATTAAAGAAAGGTACCTCACAGTCTTTGAGCCACTGTATGACACTTTTAGCAGTGTGGCATGGGGCACCGTCCTGCATGAAAAGCCTTGCCTTAGCTTTATCAATTGATTCAGGTAAGAAATCACTGAGCAGTTCAAGATAGTTGTACTGATTCATCATCTGGTTCTTAGGGAGGATTACTAGTTCACCAACACCATAATACGTAAAGGAAGCCCAAACCATAAGCGAGGCAGGGTGCTTAACAGTCTTCACTGTGTACTGTGGGAGGTGCGCGTCTGAGTGGGGGGGGGGCGGTACACCCTCCCTCCATTACTCCCAGTCACAGAAAACGTAGCCTCATCTGACCATAATACACTCCTCCATGTCTCTAAATCCCACACTTCATATTTCTTGCAAAATTTCACTCTATTTTCCTTCTGTCTCTTTGTCAACAGAGGTTTACGGCGGGCATGAAAGCTCTTAAATCCCAGGTCATCGTGTAGGGCTTGTTGAACACAACGTAACGAGACGTGACTCAAAAGACGGGGGTTTCTCTCTTTCACTTCACGTGCTGTGAGTGAGGGATTGGACCGAACTTGTCGAGAAATAACCTTAAGTGTCCGTGGAGACAATAATTTAGGCCTACCAGACTTAGGTAATGGAGCTGGTAACTCGTCCTCTCCAAGGTCATGGAAATGTTTGACAAGATTTTGAACAACTCGTAATGCCACACCAGTGTGAGCCGATATTTCTCTCAGTACATGGTTCGCTTTGTACAATGCAATCACTGCTGCAATATCGTCTCCTGTAGTCACCCTCCTGGACATCTCTGATGGCCACTATGTCGGGTTAATGCACCTTAAACTAGACAAAACATGGCCACATGGCGCGGGAACCCGCACAAAATAATCTTCCCCTCACAGCTGGCAGAGGCGCACTGACTACAAGCCGTGACGTATTCTCAGTTGCCAAATGTCAGCACTTGCCAACAAACCAAGCGTTTTGACATCTCGCATTCCAGGACAGGCTTCACAACATATGATCTTATTTTTGCGAGAACTTAGTTCGTCGGCCCTATCGCGACTTAACATTCCGCGCAGACTGTATATATATTAGGGTGGTCCTTATTTTTCAACTTTGGAATTTTTTACCACAGACACTGCTAAAAGTGTCCATTTAGGACAAAAACATTGTGTGTAGAGTTATTTTTAAATATATTAATATTTAGAGGTTGCTCAAAGCTGTCAAAAATTAAGTAATTGATGTAGTCGATTACTTTGTAGCCGATTACGCCCACCACTAGTGCGTCGCATTTGACACGATTGTGGTGAGTTTTTGCTGGTCGTGATTGATGATTGGGGAAATCAGAAACAGTTCTGCAGAGTATTCTCATTATTAATTTATAATAATAGTTAATTTCTTTATTCCTCGGGTCAAAATGGCTAATGCAGGAGTAAAAACACAAGAAAATGTGTATTTGATAAAGACATTATGTGATGACATTGCAGGGGCTAAGTTACCTTCAAACAGGCAAGTGTTACAGT